ATCGTATTTTTTTTGTTGTCACTGTTGTTGTTTTTGTTTCAAAAAAAAAATACGTGCCATTTATGAAAAATGTTTATTTATATTCAAAAAGAAACAAAAACAAAGCTTTTGAAAACTAATTTGAAATGGTATTTCAACTAATTGTTCAATAAATTGAATTTAGTGGCATATGAATTTATACAAAATTTGTGCTGTAGATAAGGGTTCCATTTTTACTTATACACGCAGTTTAAGTAAATTTGTTCTCTTTTTTTTTTCGAGAAAAATTAATTTTCAATTCAAATTGCTATAAATTGAACAAAAAAACAGTTGTCTCAAAAAAAACCTTTAAAAAAAAGAAAAAAAGCATTGCTGGCATAAGAAATGCTTAGACAACAGCTGATAAACAACTGTAAAAGTTAATTAAGCTGAAAAAAAAGGTATAAAATTTTAAGACATAACATAAACTTATTGAAAAGCAAACAGAAAAGCAGAAAAATTTTAAAGAAAAAATTATTGAAAACTATAGTAAGCTAAATTTCAGTTTTATTGTACTTTTGGCAGGCATAACATTGTCGAATTTTTTTCAAAATAATATGTCAGCCAATTTAAGTTTTTTTTTTAAAAAAATTTGAAAATTTTGAAAAGTCTGAGCAAATACAGTATACCGATAAAATCTTTAGAACATTTTGCAGCCATAAATTTGAAAAAAAAATTTTGTTAACCGTTCTTTGAAACAGTTCAAAAGTTGCTGGTTTAAGATTTAAATTTTTGATATCATTTTTGTTTTCCACGCTATTGCTAAACGTGTATCAAATAAAAAGAATAAAAAATTGTACGAAAAACTATAAAAAAAAAACTTTCTGCGCTGATAAAATGACAATTTTTTTAGTTGAAAATAAGTTGTAAAACTGCAGCAACGTTTTTTTATTTTTGCAACAACATGAAAAATTTATTCTGTTTTTTGATTCTGAGTTTTTTTTTGGGGGGGAGGGTATCACTGTGATAAAAAAATTGTAAGTCAGTTTACAAGATTGATCTTTGTAATCTGATCATATTAAATTTTTTTCTTGATTGTATAAATTGCAGTATTCTAATCTTTTCCTCTTTTTGTAAGCTTATAAATGTACGGTGTACAAAGAAACGCACTGAAAACACTGAATTTTGCTCTGTAATAAAGTTAATATACATATCTGTATCCAGAATCCCAAAGCAATAAATGTTCAGAATCATAGAAGTATAGATTTTTGCGTTGTTAAAAAAAAAATTGCTAAAATGTTGAAGTGTTAAATAAAGAAAGGTCAAACTATCAAATTTTTGTCTTTTGAAAAGGCTTTTTTTTATTTCGGTTACTTCTTTGAGCGTCAACTGCGCTCCAATGATTGTCAGATAAAGTTTCAGCGAATGATGTCTTTTTTTTTTGCCAAGAATTTATAGATTACTAAAATTAACTGATATGGCATTGCATAAAGAAGGAAAAAAATAGAATAAAAAAATATTTTGCTTCTAAAATTAAATTTGTTAGTTGAAACTGCTATTGTTGGTGATTGAGTAAAGCGAAAAAAAAAAAAAAAAAAAAGATGAAGAATAGACTATTCAAAGTCGATGACTTCAAATATGATTGTTTAAAACAACAAATTAAACACAAATTTGGAATTAAATAGAGATCCGATAGCAATTGAAGAGTCAAAAATGACTGCTAAAAACAAAGAACAAAAAAATAATTAATTGAAATATTCGACAATAACAACAACAAAAAACAAAAAAAAATCAGCAACAATTGTCGATGGCAACAGCAAAAACACTGTCTCACCTTTGCACCTTCTCTTTTCTTTTTTTTTTTTTTCTTGCTTCTGCTGTTTCTTTAATTAATATTGCCAAAAATATTGCGATATTAATTGAAGGTTCTCAAACAAAGTGAATATCGTTGTGTCAAACAACTGTTTTTAGAAGCTCTGTTGTTTTTCACCTAAAATATATCAACCCCAATCTAATGGTTACAGATGGCAGTGTGGTGCGTTAAAGTTTCACCAAACTGTCGAGAAAACTGCTGCTGCAGCAGCAGTTCTAATCTTATTGTTATTATTCTGTACGCTTATCATCAAATATATTAGTCATTAAATATTTAAGATTAATTTTTACACTTTTTTTTTGGTTATAACATTATTGTAGTTTTTAAAATTAAGCATTTTATTTTTATTACTCTTTTTATTATCTTTACAAAATTTAAAAAAAAAACTTGTGTTCGACTGTATTTTGGCATATTGTTGTTTTTTTTTTTTTTTGGTATTATTGAAACTGTTTCAACCTTTAAGGTACTTACCGGAATCTATCAGCACTTTAAAAACTGCATCTTAACTGTTGATTATCATCTGCTTTTGAATTTTTTAATTTTTGTTTATTAAAAAAACTTGTTTTTTTTTGTCGTTAAATGATATTACAATGTTTAATTTAAACAATAATTTTGATAAAATAAAGTTTTAGTTTGTC